TTCTTCTTCTTCTTCTTCTTCTTCTTCTTCTTCTTCTTCTTCTTCTTCTTCTTCTTCTTCTTCTTCTTCTTTTTCTCTTTTCCTCTTTTCAGTGTTGGTCTGTCCATCAGACCACAAAGCCACACAGTTTCCAAATGTCTGTGACCAGTGACAGCCTGGGGCCCAGGCCAGGTGTTCTTGCCTTCTTGACTGCTCCAGATTCTCATTACTGTTATTTGGCAACTCTTTGGTAAGGGCTGATGTGGGATCAGAGGATGCTCACACCAGAAAGAAGACGAAAGGAAAACAAGGGCTGTCAGAGACACTAACTCCATAAGCTTTTCTAGTTTTTGCTGTGATTGAGAACTCCAACAAGATACCGAAGCCTCGCCTTGTTCATTCTTTGAACATGCATAACAGGGACTCAACATTGATTTGGGCTTAAAATGAGCTTTTTAAAAATCAAAACATAAGTTATCAACTCTCTTTCCCACATTTCTGCAGCAGCATTTGTAACTTATTCTCTAGAATATTTTTTCAAGGGAAGACAATAGCCTGAGGGGAGGGCTACAGATAGATTTTTTTTTTTAATACTTGATACTGATGACAAGGGGCCCTGACAAGGTGCTCAGTTAATGGGTAGGTCCAAGTGCTGGAAGCCCAAAGAGGAAGCTAAAAAGGACAAAAAGTAACAGCAGTGGTTCTAGGTTTTGGAATCTCTTGATTAGAAACAAAACCAACAAAACCCTCCTTCTATGTTGGACTGTGCATTTTCATGAGGTCAGAGAGATTATTGAATTATGAGATGATTAGAAAATGATCAAACAATCCTGGTGAATTTGGTAACTGTCAACAATGTATAACAACCGTCAATAATATCTCCTCTTGATATCATAGTTAACAGATATCTCTCCTTTTTCACCAACTTCATAAATAACATAGATCTTGGCAAGTCATTCTCTACAGTGGCCTCCTGTTTGTGCAGTGCTGGGGGTTGAACCCAGGGCCCCACACATGCAGAACGAGTGATGCGCCAGAGTGCTGGAGCCCCAGAAATTTACTTTTGACTCGATTTTATTTAGGTCCTTGCTATTGAACACTTTGAAATCTCCACTTTAGACGTTAGCTGTTAATGCAAATTAAGTCCCATTTCAAACGTTCACACTGAAATTTGAAGGTGCAAACCCTCTCCTACAACAGCTGAGGATCTTTCCTGACTAAGAAGCTGCAAGTTATCATGTGATCCGAATTGCCTCATCCCCAGGCGCTGATGAATGCCAATGATGCCACTTATTAAATTGTCTTCTTTGTTGGCGAATTCTCTTTTTTCACGTGCAAACCACTTTAAATGGCTGAGTAACACCGGCGTATCATACTCACCAGGAAAAGCAATCATATGTTTAATCTCCCTGCTGTAAATCAATACCCGTTTGTTCCCTCTTTCTTTAACATCCTTCTGTTCACAGCAAACAAGAATACCATGAGGAAGGATAATGAGAGCAGCGTGTCCGAGTTCCTCCTCCTGGGGCTCCCCGTCCGGCCAGAGGACCACGCCATGATCTCTGCCCTGTTCCTGGCCATGTACCTGACCACGGTGCTGGGGAACCTGCTCATCATCCTGCTCATCAGGCTGGACTCTCGCCTCCACACCCCCATGTACTTCTTCCTCAGCCACTTGGCCTTCACGGACATCTCTTTCTCGTCAGTCACCGTACCCAGGATGCTGAGGAACATGCAGGCTCAGGATCCATCCATACCCTATGCAGAGTGTATAGCACAGATGTATTTCTTCATATTATTCACTGATCTGGACAACTTCCTCCTCACTTCCATGGCGTATGATCGGTATGTGGCCATCTGTCACCCCCTCCACTACACCACCATCATGAGAGACGAGCTGTGTATCTTACTGGTAGCTACGTCCTGGATCCTGTCCTGTGTCAGTGCTCTGTCTCACACCCTCCTCCTGGCCCGCCTGACCTTCTGTGCCGACAACACCATTCCTCACTTCTTCTGTGACCTCGCTGCCTTGCTGAAGCTCTCGTGCTCAGACATCTCCCTCAACGAGCTGGTCATCTTCACAGTAGGCACAACGGTCATCACGCTGCCCCTGATATGCATCTTGATCTCTTATGGCCGCATTGGGGCCACCATCCTCAAAGTTTCATCTACCAAAGGGATCTGCAAAGCCTTGTCCACATGCGGCTCCCACCTCTCAGTGGTGGCTCTGTATTATGGTGCAATTATCGGACTTTATTTTATACCTTCGTCGAGTGCAGCGACAAGGACATAGTTGCTTCTGTGATGTACACAGTGGTCACTCCGTTGCTGAACCCCTTCATTTACAGCATAAGGAACAGGGAAATGAAGGAGGCCTTGAAGAAGCTCTTCAACAGGGCGGCAATCTCAACTTAATGACATCTCTCATATCCTCATAACAAAACCTATGTATTCACATACTTCTGTAGACCAAATCCCTAATCTTGGGATCGTCACAGAACACACACACAGTAAATATGTGATTGCCCAAAGGGCATTCTGGCATACTTCTTTTCCACTTTCCTTGCATCTCTTTAGTGTACAAAGTGAACTCTGTGTTATTGCTGTCAACTCATGTTGCCTCTAGATTTGGAAATTACAGAGTTATAGTAATTTAAATAACTCCTCTTATTTCCTGGAAGTAGGTTTGTTCCTAAGAATTGTTAGAAGATGCCGGCATTAGTGCAGAAAGTTCCCAGAATTAGGAATTTAAAGTAAGTATCATTTCCTTTCTTCACCTCCAATTCAGTTTTCTCTCTCTCTCTCTCTCTCTCTCTCTCTCTCTCTCATCTTGTTGTTTGAGACAAGGTTTCTCTGTGTAGCCCTCGCTGTCCTGGGCTCACTTTGTAGACCAGGCTGGCCTTGAACTCACAGAGATCTACATGCCTCTGCCTCCTGAGTGGTGGGATTAAAGGCTTGTGCCACCATGCCCTGCTAGTACTCTTTTCATTAAAAAAAGTTATGATGAAGGTGGGGACAGCAAAAGAAAATACATTGCACCTTCTCTAACACAAGGAAACACTTGTGAGTTTGAGGGTTCTTGACTTCGAGAACAGTGATAAAGAAAACCTCTCCTTAATTTCCCTGATGAAGCTACAGACATTGAGTCATGTTGCCAGCAAACTCAGTCCCAACCAGTTTCATACGCAAATATGTTATATACGTATATATGCAACCTTAAAGGAGGGCGCTGTAAATGAAACGAGGTTATCGCATACACATGGAATTACTGCACTTACCGCTGTCTGCAGTGTTAGAGTATCACTCCCTCATCTTAGAGATTCCGCCAGAAAGCAGGCGTTTGGCGCATTGTCCACTTTACGAGAGGCAGTGAGTCTGCCGGTCATACAGAACTAGAAAAAGACATACCTCTGACAGAGAACAGACAGTGCCTTACTATAAAAATAAAACGATTGTGCTTTTTTGCCTGATTCTGTGTGTCAGGCCATGTGTCAACAGCTTCTCCTACCTCTGTTACCTCTTTGATTCTCACACTAATCCTATAAAGTACAGACCATTATATGTATTTTATAGTTAGGGCTTAGCTCAATGACATAATTACATGAAGTAGCACAAGAGGGGGCGTAGGAAATGCTGCATAGATTCTGGAAAAAAAAAACTGTTGCAGTGAAGAAAGTTTTCAGCTGAGTTTTGAAGTGTGTGCAGGACTGATACTCGATGTGACAAATGACAGTCTAGACAGAGAGATAGACTAAACCAGGGGTATTGCAATAGCATGCTGAGTTCAAGGACACGAAACAGCGTTTTGTTGGTAAAGAACAGGTGTGAGACTCGAGAGGGAATCATCCACGAGTCTAGGCACGTGGATAAGCGTTTCACTCTGTAGGAGACAAGACGCCGTGCTAAGGAGTTTAGGTACTTGGGTAACCAGTGCAGATATTCATGATATGAGGATGGAAAGAGCATAGCTTGGAGGTCTGCGAGACAGATCATAGCAATGAAGGGAAGTGGTGGCAGAACTTCTCAGGAACGCTCTCGGTTTTCGTCTTCGTAGACAGATGTTTAAGGAAGAGTGGAAACCTAGGTGGCCGGGATAATTTTGTTTATGTTTAACAACCATAAGGAATTGGGGGACTAGGTTGACGACCGTCCGCTTTTACAATCTGAGTTTAAGCAAATAAAAAGTAGATACCTTTAACGGGCAAGATGCACGAGCAGCGTGTTCATCACCTCTGATCATGGTGGAAATCACACTGCAGCACCACAGCACAAAGACATAACGTAATCTGTTCCTCAGTGTGAATCATTGACTCACCGATAACACGTTAAGAATCATTGACTCACCGATAACACGTTAAGAATGGGTGCCCGTAGGGAGGTAGAAGTTCGAGCTCTGGGGCCAGGGATAAAGATTATGTATCAAAAAATGTATTTGGAATTATTAATACAATAGAAATAAAATTTAGAAATTATACTACAAGAGGCCGGGTGGAATCTAAGACTGTTAGACAGCTGACCATGGACAAGCAACGGTGTCCCCTGATGGCTCTCTATATGCTGAACTGACCTGAGTCCTTACTGCTGCAGAAGTACAGGGAAAACCAAAGTGAGCACACATGCTGGCCCCCTACTGTGCTTAGTTGTTTAGGTAGACAGAAGACTAAGGTCAAGCCAAATATAAGAAGTAAAATTCAACGATCCTCATTTTAAAATTTTAAGACTTATGTGGTTCTTGAAGGGGAGAAGGCCCAGTTTAGAGATGAAGACAAATTCACAATCAAATAAGAAAAGAGGTTTCAATGTTGTCATCTAGAAGTTGCTAGAAGACAGGTGGTATTGATCAGCTCTTTTGTTTGTTTTAGGAGTGTTTTTCATTTGCGTGTTTAAAATATCATTTTTATATTGATGTCCATATTTATATTTATATGCATGTGTGTCTGTGTATGAGCATGAGCATTTGCATGCATGTGTCCATGAAGGCCAGAAAAGGGTGTTGTGTCTCCTGGGCTGGAGTTCCAGGTGGTTGTGAGCTGCCTGACCTGGGTGCTGGGAACGGAACCTGGGTCCACTGCAAGAGCAACAAATGCTCTTATGAACTGAACCGTCTCTCCAGCCTCAGCCTTGAACATGTCTGAGCAGCAATGGCGGAAGCAGTGTGAAGAAATGTAACAGCATTCCTTGAAAACTGTGGAAAGCCACTTAGCCAGCACAGAAATATAAATGCTGAATTCAGTGATGGGGAATTCTTTACTTATTCTGGATTTCTTGAACTGTAGCATCTATCCTTTTTCTCTTAACTTCCATTTATTCTTATGAATAAGACAAATGCATCCAATGAGGAACTGAGAATCTAGAATGAAATGTCATGAGAATAGAGACTTTTACTTAGCTCTAGGCGCATAGTAAGTATTCTGAACAAATGGATTTTGGGGAACAGCTTGTTACTTCTGGGTTGTGGTGCATATGAAGAATGCTATCCGCAGCAGTAATAACTAGCAGCTGTCACCTGTTGGGCATCTGCTAAATTTGCTGTTGCATCTGATGCCTTTCCCAGGTTATCTTACTCAAACTCCCAACTCATCGGACTAAATAGAAACCATTGAACTGGGTGCTGATGCTCATGTCTGCAAATTTAGTACCCAGGAGATTGAGATAGGAGACTTGTGAGTTAAAGACCAACTCAGGCTACACAGTGAATGCTAAGCTAGCCTGGGTTGTACATCGAGACCCTATCTTAAAAAAGAAGGCAGAATGGAAAAAGGAATAAAAAAAAACAAGCAAGTAAATACTATTTTCTAAAATCTTTACTTTGTAGAAGGGAAAACTAAAAGCCAGAGAGGTTAATTAATTGAACATCAATCTCATACCTAATATGTGTCCAACCCCAAATTAAAGGAATTTGTTTGACATAGATTATGTTTCTTCATCAAATTACCCTCATATTTTATGGCAGAGGAGCCTCCTTAGAGCTTCTTTCATGTCTTTGTTCCTCAAGCTATAGATGAAGGGGTTCAACATAGGAGTGACCACTGTATACATTACAGCAGCTGCAAAGCCCTTTTCTGCAGAGACTACAGAGGGAGGGCGCAAGTAGGCACTGAAGAGTGTCCCATAGAAAACACAGGCCTCACAGCGATGGGAACTACAGGCAGAAAAGGCCCGTGTGCCCCACCTCAGGATGGCAAATACAATGTGACATAGGAAATGACAGCGCATACAAAGGGGACCATGAGTACTCTGCCTCTTAAGGCCAAAACCATTAGCTCATGGACATGAGCGTCAGAGCACGATAGCTTCAGAACAGGAGTAATAAATAGCACAGAAAAAGTGAGCTATTTCCCCAACAACACAGAAGGACAGCGGAGCCATGAGGAGAGTGTGAGCCTGGACAACTATGTGGGTGACTCCGCAAAGGGCAAACATCGGGGCACAGACTCGGGTACTCATGATTGTGGAACAGTGGAGAGGGCGGCAGATGGCCACAAAGCAGTCATAGGCGATCACAGCCAGGAAGAAGCTGTTCAGGTCACCAAACATCAGGAAGAAATACGTGTGGGTGAGACATCCAGTCTAGGAGATGGTATGGCGTTGAGTCTGAACATTAAACAGCATCTTGATCACTGTAGAGGATATTAAGCCCATGTCAGTGAAGCACAGGTTGGCCAAAAAGATAGGCATGTGAAGGTGTGGGTCAGAGCCAATGGCCAGGATGATGAGCACATTCCCAGTCAAGGTGACAAGATACATACACAGGAAAAGTCCATAGAGTAGCTGCTGGTGCTCTAAAAACCCAGATATTCCTCGTAGGAAAACCTCAGAGACACTGGATTGGTTTTCCATGAGTCTATAGCATCTGGAGGTCAGAAACAATAGTCAGAATGTAGGGTTCACTCTAAAGCTGCAGGCACTTGCCTCTGAGCCTCCCACATCCACGTCTGTATTTAAATTCTCTCTCTTTACTTCCAACCCTCACATTTGTATTTAAATTCACTCTCTTTACTCCCAACACCTACATCTGTATTTTGATTCACTACTCTCAGTCCTAATGTTTCCTGTCATGGATTTTATCACCTTTTCTTCTCTCCTGAAGAATTCCATACTCTCCACTTTTCCTCTCTTCCCCAGGGCAGTCTGTGATACAATGAGCATTCTTCCAGCGACAGTCTGGGAGCAGTCATCTCTGGTGCTACGCAGCCTTAGTCTAGCTTTATCAGGTCCTACCAGCTCTGCTATCACACTAGAGTATTTTTATGGATGTCCTAAAGTGAGACAAATTATACATTCTTTTTGGAGATTATTCCAAAACATGCAAAAAAAAATTGCCTTTATCAAAACTCCATGAATACCCTTTTTCCTTCAACAGCATCACCATCTTCCTGGAAATGTTTTTCATGACTCAGTGTTCACACCTAAAGAGAAGCCTATCTGCAATCCAAAGGTTCCCTCAAGTAGTGTTTAGATTTCGAAGTCAGAATTTCATACTTTTCCAAGAGGAGAATCTGAGAGTGATCACGTATCTGTGATCCTCTGAAATCTATATTAACTGAATTGACTAACATGTCTCAAAATTTCACAATTTTCATGAGAGATAGAAGGAGCCTCCCCTATCAGTGGACTTGGAGAGGGGCAGGGAGGAGAAGGAGAGAGGGTGGGATCGGCAGGGAAGGAGGGAGAGGGCTACAGCTGGGATACAAAGTGATAAACTGTAATTAATATAAAAATTTTTAAATCTAAAATTTAAAATAGAACCACCACCAATTTTGTTTCTGAATTAATTAACTAATCATAATTAATCATGATGGGGAATGTGAGTCCTTACAAAGACTGCAGTGACTGAGCACATTCCAATAATCATGTTCTGAAGCAAGAAGACTCTCCCAGGGCCCAGTGGATTTTTAATTTCTCCAAAACCAAGAAGGACACAGATTGGCGGACAGTTTCTCGAACCCTGACTTCCAGGTCCTCTCTTTATTTCCATGGAGTCTTTCAACGGGCCCGAGTGCTATTTTAGAGAAGACCCAAAATGCGTCAGTTCATCACTATGGCAACAAATAGTTTACATGAGTAAGTTCTCTGACTTCTTCAAATAAATCCAAATATTTCCTCTTTAAGGCCATTTAAAATATGTACTTTGTATGTGTATGCACATATCTATATATGTATGTATGTATGTATTTGAGAGAGAGGGCTTGTGCCTGCACCTGTGTAGAGGTCAGAGGATAACCTACAGAGGTCTGTAAGTTATCTTTCCATGTAGATTCTAAAGATTAAACTCCCATCAACAGACTTGGGAGCAGGTGCCCTTACCCACTGAGCCATTTGTGCTACTGTAGGGCCAGGTTTTTTTGTTTGTTTGTTTTAACATTCTGACTTTTTGTTATACTTCTCAATACTTTGGATTAGCACCTCTTGCTCTATTTATTGGTTCTACTTTTCCTTGCAAAGAAAAATCGTCCTTCTTAGAACCTTGGCCTCAGAAATTTCAATATATCTTTGAGACATCAGTGAGGTGTTTCCATAAATTGGCTTACTTCCTGTCATCCAAGTCAAGCAGTCCCTTTTCTTACCACCACTGCTTCTTCATCCACTGTGTCGATCAACAAGTGTGACATGAGGTGGGCCTTATGGTAAGAGGACCCCAAGCCATGGACCTGACATTTTGTAACAGTTTAGTCAAGTTCCCATGCTCACTGCTGCCCTGTTCACTGAGAAGAAAGCCACAGGAAAGTATTTATTTAGGAAGAAACCCTCATAATCCTGACAAGATTTTTTAAAAAGATTTATTTATTTATTACATAAGCAATGTTCTGTCTGAATGAATACCTGCAAGCCAGAAGAGGGCACCAGATCTCCCTATAGATAGTTGTGAGGCACCTTGTGGTTGCTGGAAATTGAACGCAGGACCTCTGGAAGAGCAGCCAGGGCTCTTAACCTCTGAGCCATCTCTCCAGCCCCCCTGACAAGATTTTTAATGGGATTGACTGAAATCGGGGCCCTGAATAAAGAATATTAAATATAAACAACAAATAGACCGAGGTATAAGTCAAATCATTCAATGGAGGTGAAAAACTGTGTGGAAGGAATAGAAGCTTAGAGGAAAGTGTGTTAGGGTTCTAGATGAAGAGGGTTCAAGACGTGAACTGCACAGTTAAGTCAAGGTCACAGCTGAATGGGAAGCTGCAGCAGAGTTTCACTCGTCTGCTTGAGGAGAGAAATCCAGGAAGATGAGCTTCTTTGCTGAAAACTTGTGATAACCTGAAACAAATCTTCTGACTCCACTTGGACAAGGGTTTGAGAAATCCTGAAATGTTTTTGTTTTCTGTGTGAAGCCTGACCTGATGGAGGCACACCTGCCATTTCATCAGGCTGATCCCTAGAAGAGAGTTGATCAAACCCTACTTTGAACAACCATAGATACAAGAAGTCAGGAGCCGAGTTCCCCAGAGCCTTGTTAGGGAACATTTATGATACCCGATTCCCCTCTGTCTTTGTTAGAACAGACAAAATTAGTGCAGCACAGGATTCCATTAAAACTGAGATGTTTTACTGTTTTCTTTATACATAGCATTAAACACTTTCGCCACTGTATTACTCAGCAATAACAATGTATAATAGTGGTTCTCAGCCTGTGGGTTCCATGTGAGATATTTACATTACAGTCCGTAACAGTAGCAGAATTACAGTTACGAAGTAGCAACAAAATAATGTTTTGGCGGGGGGGGGGTGTCACCATAGCACGAGGAACTGTCTTAAAGGTCTGCCACATGGGGAAGGCTGAGAACTGCTGATCTGTAGTAAAATGTTCCTTCTAGGAAGACACATCTGCCTTTTTGCAGCAAGGTCACTTTGCTCAGGAGCTCCTTCACCAAATAAATGCAAAAGCTTCTACCACTTTTCCTAAAGGTTTCTCATGCTTCTGATTAAAGATAAAAAGCACCAGTTTATGTCAGAGGCAGTCCCTCTTCCCATTACTATGGAACCCACCTGGACACTAAACTGCCATGGGCTACATCTGTGCAGGGGTTCTAGGTTATCTCCATGTATGGTACTTGATTGGAGTATGAGTCTCTGGGAAGACCCCTGTGTTCAATTTTCTGGTTCTGTTGCTCTCCTTGTGGAGTTCCTGTCCTCTCCACATCTTACTATTTCCCACTTTTTGCATAAGATTCCATGCACCCTGAAGGGGGAGCAGCCTTATCAGGCCACAGAAGATGACAATGCAGCCACTCCTGATGAGATCTGATAGACTAAGGTCAGAAGGAAGGAGAGGAGGACCTCCCCTATCAGTGGACTTGGGGAGGGACATGCGTGAAGAAGGAGGTGGGATGGTGGGATTGGGAGGGGAGGAGGAAGGGGCTTATGGGGGGATACAAAGTGAATAAAGTGTAATTAATAAAAATAAAAATTAAAAAAAGAGAAAAAGCGCACCCGTTTAATTTCACTCACCTCATTATACTCTGTAAGTGATTTTTAAGGGACAAAACTCACAAAGAGAAGAGTAATAACAGTAACAAAATTTTGGAAGGTAGAAGCCAGATGGTATAATTGAATTTTTGCCACCTCGTGGGTTCTTCTTTCTTCCACCCTTCTCCACTCCTTTTCTTCTACACTTTCAACCCCCTAACACTGAAAACGAGGGGGAAAAGATAGAGGGTAAAAGCGGTGACATTATTGTAGACTACTTCCTGCTGATTAGGGACCTCAAGTTCCTTGGGGCAAGTCTGATCTTCACTGTCAGGATATCTTTTTTTTTTTTTCTTGTTTCTTCTTTGCAAATGGCTACTTAGCAAACTGTGACTAACAGCAATTAACAGGATCCAACCACCACCAACTATCTCACCTCTTGAGGCCCTAGCATTTATGCCCCCTCTGAAAAGTCCCCAGAAATTCAACCATCACACAATTGCAAAAACTGTCTGCAGCTGGCAAGATAACACCCCTGCTAGAGCTTGAGGCAAATCATAGTCAGCCGCTGTGGACAATCTGAAGCAGCCCCACATCCTAGGATTAAAACAAAAACTTATTCCTGTGGGTTTTTTTTTTCTTTTTCAAAAAACCAACATTCTCACAATGAGATGAGCCAGTGAACCAAAATATTTCCATCACTGGCTCTAAATTTTAGATGATTTCTCCAGCTATGGACCTCTGAACTCCTCTCTGTTTACGTTAGGATACTTGAAAAACAGTTCAGCATCAAATTTAATTTGGGGCTGGGGAGATGATGGCTCAGTGGTTAAGAGTACGTGGTGCTTTTACAGAGGACCCAGGTTCAGTTCCCAGTGTCTACATGCTGCCTCACAGCCTCTTGTACCTCTGGATCCAGAGATCCAATACCTTCTTCTGACCTCCATGTTCTCCTGCATATACATGGTAAGCCTGCATACACAAAAGTACACATAAAAATTAGCTCGCTTGCCATCATCCACAGTCTCTGGTGCTTTATGAACACAATATAGCAGTTACATATAAATTGACAGTGGTGGAGATATCCTGCACAGGACCTATATAAACTTAAGCCAGACACAATCCGAAAACCAGGGGAGGGAGTGGGCATGAAGTCTTGGAACTGTTGGGAAATGATAGCTTCTGGAAGAGAAAGAGTTGGTTTTCTTCAAGGGTGTGGGTCCTAGTAGATTCAACACACCCCAGTGACTGGCCACGCACCTAAGAGTATATAAGCAGTGCCAAGACTTGACAGGTTTAAAAAATTAAGCACACAAAATTGTGTGGGTATGTAATGGGGGTTGTGAATCTAGGATGAAATGGAGAGAAAACAGAAGATAGAGTATTTGAAATTCTCAAAAATTTAATACCTTTTTAAAAACTGCTGAGCGTGGTAG